TTTTCTTCATCCTTTTTCTCATCTTCAATCTTGGCCTTTTCTTTCAGCTCCTCCTTGTTAAATGACAGTATACATTATTGAATACCTAGATTACCTCTTGATAAAATCTTATACATGCCCTTAACTTAAATGGAGTGGCAGTTTAGAAACCAACAAACCCCCAATCACTAATTAGGTGGTAGAGGGGTTCATAAGTTCAGCCCAAACAGCTCTAGTCTAATTGTGTAAACACTACTATTACCCATACCAAACCTTACTTGTATAAATATTGCTACTACCATACCCCTCCAAAAAGAACTAGGATGATGAGCTGTAGGAAAACAGTTTGAGGGGGAAAAAAATTTTAACTTCATGAAAAATAGATTTTTAAACATCGTAAACAGGAAAAGTGAAAGAAATAAAGCCTGTCCAATGCTTCACTACCCCTTCATGGTTTTTTTTTTTTAATTAAAATATATTACATTAACTACATTAAAATAGCAATTTTGGAGAAACAGGGTCATGTAACAGAGCACTGGATTTGTCTCAAGCTCTGCCATTTATTAGTTCTGGGCAAGTGACTTAGAAGCTTTCACTTTTTCACTTGAAAAGGGAACAATCCTTTGTATGTCCATCATGAAGTTCAAAGGAGAAGTTTCTATGACTCTATAAACATTAAATACTATAAAAATGTAAGGAAAAAGTCAACTTGGATATAGATGATGGTGCCAGGTTGAACATTGGCTCATTTGCACTCACTACGCATCTTACAACAAAGGAAATATTTTCAAGGTATAAAACACATTAAAGGTGGTACCAACCGAAATTTCATCTTCTTCATCTAGTTTCCATTGACATTCTTCTTCTGTAGGTTCATAAATTGCATTAATGATCTCAAATCGCTAAAGTGATTAAAAAAAAAAAAGCTTGCATAAAACACTGGCATCCAAGCTAAAAACTAGCCACTTCTCATTAAGAACTCATAGAAATTAAATTAACGCATACCACAACTTGAATCGCTATTACTGACAGCTTTCCCAAATACATCTAATAACCACTTTGCTGAAAGATCTAAAGAAAGTTTGTTTCCAGGGCTTTATGTTCTCTAATTTTAAATAAAACAAAGTAGGAGAAAGCATTACCTTATCAAATAAAGGCTGATAGAGAACAGCATACTTTCTTTCAAGATCGTGAACTTCCTCATAGAACTTGGCTTCTATGTGTGCACATTTAACTT